CCTGAGTTAGGAAATTTAAGTACGCGAACAAAATCCAAACTGCCCATTACCCAGCTTTTTTGCGACTACTGTCACAAATCCAGTTATGGCGGGAAATTAATTTCTGGCGTCAAATGCGAGCGTATCGAGTTCTTCGTTTTTAAACTAGTAAATAACTAGTTTATAAACTAGCAGTGAGTAAATAACTACAGGAAAAAGCAGAAATCGAAGCTTAGTGAGGCAGTTCTGGAGAATTATGCACGATAGGGTTTAGAAAGGTAAACTGCCACGAAATGTGTCTTCTGCAACAGTGCAACCGGGAAAAGTAGGAAATGGTCATGGTACCTTTGGTACAGATGGACCTAGAAACTATGTTTTGACCAGTCCTTGTGTTTTACCACAAGCATTTGTAAACATAATGCGTATATGCAGGCCTTTTACTTATTTTACGAAAATAAAACATGAAAAGCCCAATGCTGAAGCGAAAACGATAGCGCTCATGGAATGAAGCATGGTAGGCGCCAGCAAGATACAGCATGTTTCTAACTGGGTACTGTAATTTTAACCTGGTATGAGCGATATTTTTAAGGCAGTGTACGCCAGGAAGAAGAGATGGACTAATTATGTAGTGAGGATGCAAGAAAGCAAACGGGCATTGCAAATTACTGAACGATACTCATGCAGCACTGAAAAGACATGATGAAAGCCGATAAGAAATTAGTTTGCGGCTTTACAAACTCGCCAAAGTTATCGTTTTCCTGAAACAATTTGAGCTGCGCCACGAAAAAGTTAAAAAAATATTGTGAGTTTTACTATTGAAGAACATACATCCAATGATTAAATAGTTGTAAAACTAACTGAAAATTGGTGAAGTTGCCGGCGGCCGAGTTTTCTTGGCTGAAGTGTTTTTGCGACGGGAATCCTGCAAGGAAGGTTCATCGAAGCAGGAAAATACTCGAGCTTCAGGTGGCATTGATTCACTTGATCCAGATGATTCATTTTCGGACCATCTTTCCTCTTCTTTGCTCAGCGTTATCCGCGTGGATGGATGAATGTGCGATCCAGTTTCTTTGCTTGCCTGTTTTTTCAGTTTCCGGACAATGGATGTATCTGCTAGCTGTGTTTCGATAAGTTTTTCTGTTTTCCGTGGTAGTGACGGATGTGTTGCAGCAGCATCATGATGCGATCTTGTCCCACTCCGGGGACTCCGGGGACCACTCCGCGGACTCCGGGTACCACTCCGAGGACTCCGGGTACCACTCCGGGGACTCCGAGTACCACTCCGGGGACTCCGGGCACCACTCCGGGGACTCCGGGTACCACTCCGGGCACCACTCCGGGGACTCCGTTTGCCACTCCGGGGACTCCGGGCACCACTTTGGGGACTCCGGGTACCACTTCGGGGACTCCGGGGACTTGCCGACTGCGTGTTGTTTTCAAGCAGCGCCACATCAAAAATTTTAGCTGATGAGCAAGCCGGCCGCAAATGCATTGTGCTTCCTGGACTGCGAGCGCACGCTGTATGGAGCGACAATTCCGAGTAATTTCTGGCCAGTTTTCTTCTTGATAACATTTTGTTGAGATGTTTGTTTTTTGCTGATGCATCATCGTCTTCACCGGCTAGATACTGGAATAACGCCAGTTTGCAGTGCCGAGCCAGAGCATTTGCAACGCTTGGCGGAAAGCGATTCTTCGCATCTTTTGCTGCCTGCAATACATCTATTCATTAGAAATCAAAAGCACTCTGCTTGCATTAGAAGGTATTGCCTGTCGCGAAGAATTGTGAAAGAGAAGAAAAAGAAAAATAAGTGGCCAGCAGCCGCACATGGATTAGAAACATGCTCATAAAATTACAGCTCTCTGGCTTCTGCGGTTACTGAGTAAAAAGAAAGAGATAAAATTGGAAAAAACACACGAACACCCACAATAAATACACCCACAGATAAATTTTCGGTAGTATGAGTTTTTACGTTACATCACTGATGCTGCAGCAAACTGCTAGAAAAATCATCTAGGATTTAGCTATGGGTTATAATTCTCAAATGCCCTTGGGATTTCACTGCAGCGGAATCGGGTCTATTTTTATGCGTTTTGTGCTGTGTAACAGCGTTACAAAACGCATATTGTCACGGGGTTGTGTGTGTGTGT